TAGAATTGCATTTTTGAAGTAAATGAAGTAGCTAATGACCCATCAAGATGCCCAGCACACTTGGACAGTTGGAGGAGAATGGTAGTGGCACAGGCTGCAAGCGTAAATATGTCTATTCAGAGGCGAGACCCGTTGAATTCAATTGGGCTTACTTTCAGGTAAGGAGTTAAGGTTTGCAGCCTCAATCCTATACACAGAAGACAAGAAGGAGCAGATATTGACTAATTTCAGTTGTGCCTCATGCCTTCAGGGGGCTAATGATGTTTGACACAGCTACAGATGACGGGGGGCGAGGACTGAGCAAATTTCTCACAGGTGTTTTTTTGGGGGGAGTACAAATGTATAATTTGCAAGCCTTCTCTACTCAGAAATAAATGCCATAGAATTCAGTGGGGTTTACATCCAGTTAAGGCAGTGGTTCTCAAAAGGTGTGGTGCACATATTTACTCAGAAGTCGGTTTCAGTGGAGCTTAAGGTAAAGGTAAAGGTACCCCTGCCCGTACGGGCCAGTCTTGACAGACTCTAGGGTTGTGCACTCATCTCACTCTATAGGCCGGGAGCCAGCGCTGTCCGCAGACACTTCCGGGTCACGTGGCCAGTGTGACAAGCTGCATCTGGCGAGCCAGCGCAGCACATGGAACACCGTTTACCTTCCCGCTGGTAAGCGGTCCCTATTTATCTACTTGCACCCGGAGGTGCTTTCGAACTGCTAGGTGGGCAGGAGCTGGGACTGAAAGATGGGAGCTCACCCCGCTGCGGGGATTCGAACCGCCGACCATGCAATCGGCAAGTCCTAGGCACTGAGGTTTTACCCACAGCGCCACCCGCGTCCCGCATCAGTGGAGCTTATATCCAAGTAAATGTGTGGAGCATCATAGCACGCACAACAAGAAGTTAGAATATAGCAAAGGGTACAATCAACAACCATCATCACCTCATCATGACAGGAGGAGTTGAAGAATATGTAAATTGTATTTATCTTTTTTCTGCCATTATAGTCTACAGAATGCAAATGCAAGATTAGTAACCATGTTAAAATAAACAGCTAATCAAGCTTCATTAATGCTATTAATTGCATATCTGTGAGGGTGGGGGTGGGGGTGAATCTACTGGCAACAAATGCAACCTCCATTTTCACGATCCATTCCTGACAATGAGCAAATACATGAACAGAAATTTTTTTGCTCACTTATTCTTTTCTGTTGGAATTCTGTGACATCCCAAATCATGACATTACCCTGTTCACTTGTGATTCCCAATTTCTTAGTTTAGTGAAAGTCTTACATCAAATTAGAAAACAAGAAATAAACATACAGAATGTACAATATATAACCAGGCATCCATTAAAAGAATTGTCTGGGATGAGCCATGATGCCTATCAGGAAGAAGATGCAATAATGAGAAGTGGAGGAATGATGCTAATCCATAACAGAGCGGAGAAATAATGAAAGAGACCAAGACTAAAGGAATACTTTCCATAGGATAACATTCAGTGCAGTCCTTATAGTCACAGTTGAAAATGCCTTTAGCACCATTCCTTAATGTGCTTTTACTGACACTTTCATCATTGTTTGGTTAAATATCATGGCTCTGTCTTGATTTAAAAGAAAAATATCTCCAAAACTTTAATTGATGAGGAACTTGCAAAAGGCAACAGCAAGAAATAAGTGCCAAACACTAAGCTGCTCGGAAATGGGACAGCATGTTAGAAAAGAGCTTTGATGCAGCCGTTCCAATGAGAAAAGGAAAAGCCAACTTCAATAAAGAACAGTTTGTCCATTAAAGGACGTGACATGGGTGGAAAGAGCCACCTTTCAATAGGAGCCATTTAATGTAGCCATTTAAAGGAGGACACAATTAGAGCTCAGTTACTCCCCTCAAAGCCAAGAGTTGCCAAATCAGTCCACATCAGACTTTGCTTGGCTTTAGCGTTTGAAGATGAATACTTCTTTGTGAAGGTTCTCGTAGCAATATCACAGCATTCTATGGCCAAAATATTTGATTTTCCTGGATAGGCTTTAATCACTCACTTCTGGCATGAGTTATTGAGATAGATAGCCCTCACAGTAGTTGTATCCTATATTCGTGTCACCCTACATGCAGCCTTTCTGCTTTTAGAACTTAGTTTACTTTCATCTTTATTGTCACTGTAGGTTGGTTTTATATATATATGAAAAAGTTGTTTAATGCGTTGATTTTCTTTTCTTTTTTTAAAGTTTTATAGTGCACCATAAACAGAAGGGAAGCACATTTACTTTCTGCTAATGGCAAAAGTTACAATGAAAATTGCTAGCATTCTTTATAATTGTATGCAGTTGTGAGAAAGTTTTAGTTACTTATTTACCAGTATTTCCAAGCAAAGGCTGATATCCAATGCTCTTCTCTGGGAAATCGGGCCCTCCCTTAAAGAGGGCATGTATTGTGGTGAGACCTAGACACCGACACCCTGTGTTGTGGGTGGGTACGATTGGTCAGCCACAACACCTGATTGGTAGGTCCCTCGTAGCTGGGTGCAATCTGGCCAATGGGACACAGTCCAAATGGTTCAAGGGACCTATTTATACCCATGCACATGACCCAGAGCTTCCTCTTTCAGCGCGTGCATTCAGAACACCCCCCCCCAACACACACACCTCTCCCTACTTTTAGGGCTTTGCGCTTGACCTTGCTATGCCTTCATGTGTCACCTGTCATTGGGACAGGGGTACGGCAGGAATTTCCCCCACTTGGCTGATTGGCTGTTGCCATTTGGGTTTCGCCTGCCGCGCAGCAAATCTTCACAACTTGTAAGGTTGCGGATAGGCTCTGGTTCAGGTGATAGGGATGGGAGAACGGTCTCGCCATCCCTATGGGAAGGGTATTCCGTTAAAGGAATCCAGGGACTCGATGGTTTGGTCAACCCCTGAGAGGGGGTTGTGCCCGTGCCTCAGTTCAGGGGGACATTTGGGTGGTGGAGATAGCCTATTCCAGGCTTTCTGCTTATCCAGGTGTTCACCCTTGGCTGACCTATGCTGGAACCCTGGGTCAGCACTACAGTACCTGCATGGCAGGGAGCTAGTCGAACCACAGCCTATGCAACCATTCACTTTCTGTAATCAATAAAGCTGAGGCCTAAATTCTGCCTAAAACCAAAAACCAAATTTGAGTCAAGTGTGAATTTATTTAGGGGGGAGGTTTCTGGGTCTGAACATGCAAAAGCTTTTAATCCAGTGGAGGTATCTGTTAAAATGGAAGAAGGTGTGTGTGTGTGTGTGTGTGTGTGTGTGTGTTTTCTTTTTCTGACAACTCCCTTTTCTGGTGTTGCTCCCTACACCTCACAAGCAATATTACACACTGGTCTGGTGGGTCCTGCACTTTGTTGGGGGGTGTACACAGGGGGATTCCATGGGGATGGGAACTTGGGGGGAAATGCCTCCCCTCTGCCTGTGTTAACGATTTCCTCTGCCAGTTCAAAAGGTCATTCCACCAGTGGAATGGCATCATCTGATATTGCCTGAAATGCCCAACTAAATTTAATGTTGTGCATTATGCTCTGTGCTTGTAGGTAAAGCTGAATATTTTAAGATTAAAGAATGTAATGTGGAGCTGAGTTCTGACTGAATTTTGAAGGCAAAGTATAGCGGCCAGAGGGAATGAATTACCTATGCTAAAGATGAATTGCCCAGACAGTGCGCATAGTAAATAGCATGTCACAGCTGAAAGATTTGGACCCGTTCCATAGACCTAGATGCTCAGTAGTGCATATGCATGCAGTCACAATATTCTGTTGGGAGGAATGGGAAAAAGAGGGGGGTGCATGGATCCAGTCTCTTTCACTCCAAATATGCCGTTGGGGCATGCCTCTTCAGCATTATTCTTGAAATATCTGTTCTATAGGGGAAAGAGTCCACACTGCCCTGGGGGCTGGATATGGGGATCTAGCAAGATGAACCACCTATAGGTAGGTAGGGTTGGGGTTGAAGTCCAATCGTGTTCACATTTAAATGGGGACTTACCTAATCTGCAACTTGTGAAACAGTATGCAATCCAAAACACAGCCATTCTTTGATTTCTCTGAATTTTTCAGTGCAGTGCAAATAGTGTGCACAAAAATGTATATACAAGGGTGAAGAGTGTGTAAAAATGCAGATGTTGTTGAAAATAACATCTATTAAGGAGAATTACTTTGCAAAAATGTGTCTATTAGGCAGACTTGCATACCGAAATGCTGATGAACTTTCACGAGGACCTTTAAAAAAACACAAAAACAAAGTGATACATAAATGTGGTGAATCACACTGAAGATTTTTTTTAAAAAAAACTGAGACACAGAGAGAAGCCACAGTTGTCATATTCGCCCATCCCAATCCGCGAAAGAAACATTCTAAAGGAGGAACTCTGTAGTGGAGGTTATGGGCAGGATTTCATATTTCCTAAACTGTGCGCTCTTTCACAGCAAACTAGCAGCCTTAGAATCCAGATTTATCTGAACAGCATCTGAAACAAAGCTATCTTCAAGGATGCAGACAAGATGCTGCTCAGTGGTGGAAGCATGGAGAACGTAAGCCTTGTTCCCAATTGATTTAGCATTAACAAATCAAACCTCCGTGAAGAATTCCAAATTGCCATCTGCCCATTCCTCTCCAGCAAGCTGATCCCCCTTCCCAGTGTGCACTACACACATGCAATGTGCTCTGCTAAAAGCATTTAGAATTGGATACCTTCCATCCCTATGAGTACTTCTCTTCCCCTGAGCCAAATCACAGAAGCAAGCAAGGAAGGAGAAAGGTGGTCACAGCAATGACATATATTTTTTTGAACTACTAAAACGATTTCTTGCCTATCTGCAAGGTGAAGTGACTCTAGCCTATGGAGAGTTTAGTCCAGGGGAAGCCAACATGGTGACCTCCAGATGTTTTGGAGTTCCAGCCAGTATGGCCGATGGCTAGGAATGGTGGGAGTTGACACATCTCCTCTTGCCTCAATTGATCCTCCGAGCTGTGGTCGCTGCTGCAACTGCGATGGATCTTCAGGACTGCGCCTGCACCACTGGTGGCTCTTGTTCCTGTGCCGGCTCCTGCAAATGCAAAAATTGGAAATGTACTTCATGCAAAAAATGCTGCTGCTCCTTTTGCCCAGCTGGATGCAACAAATGTGCCAAGGGTTGTGTCTGCAAAGAGGCGCTATCAGATAAATGCAGCTGCTGCCACTAAAAATGCAGTTTTCTTGGTGTAAATATTATGTATGATAATGGAAAAGAGACAATTTTCCTATTTTGTAACTGCTCTTTCGTGCAGTTGAAAGGAAGAAAAATGTTGTTTTCAGAAAAATAAAAGTATTCTAAACTTGAAAAAAGGAATGGTGGGCGTTGCAGTAAAAACATGTTGGCTACCCCTCTTCCTCCATATTCTGACATTATTTTATTTACCTGTCCTTACTTCTTTAAAATATTTGATACTGTTTGGTTTACAAACTTCCAGAGCATCTTAAATCAGTATTTGAATGGCTCTGAATAGCCATCTTCCTGTTAAACATGGCATCAAAAAACCCACTAGCGAGTTGGCCACCTTTGTATTCTAAACCAAAGCCCTCACTACTCCTTTCAGGGAACAAAAAGAGCTTTTGTGAACATGGTGAGATTTGTTCCTCTCCCCTTTAAGGCTTCTGCAATTTTCTGTTCATGGCAGAAACTGTGTAGGATTTGCAAAGTGGATGGGTGGGACTAGGAATCCTGCAAAACCAACAGTGCCTTGACAACACTCCCTACTGAAAACATCACTTAACTTGACAAACAACCTGTAATAGTGCATGTGAAAATACAGGGTTAGACAGGTACAGAGATAATGTACGAAGAACATGCTGAGCAAATAACAGCCTTTTGAGAATCAACATTAGCATAATTGCTAAACATGGATAATTGCTGAAATAGCATTTGCTGGCACCGTTTGTATTTCCAAGTGCAACTGCTTTTTCCTCCAGCCCATGTAATATTCCACTAGAATCCGGCTTTAGTGGAGAGCCATCAAGAGGGAATTGGCACTATCCAAGAGCCAGGGGCAATGAGAGGGATAAACTTGTAAAACAAGCGAGAGTCCAACCATCCTTTTAGTCCTAGGTTGTCATTTCCAGCATTCTAGGCTTTGTTAAAATCCATACACAGTACTATCTTCTCAGTCAATACCTGATAAGGCTGGACATTTCAAAATCAATTCCCATTGATTTCTTTCTACTGAAATAGGATAAGAAGGTGGCAGATACAATGAACATTTAGTAGAGTGTATTGAACCAGTCCAAGAGCTAGCAGAAACCTGGCTGTAAAACAAGAGGAATAAATTGTAAAAATATGCAGAGGAAACCTTGGCTACCATTGCTATGATCAGCCCGTTCTTTTCATATTTTTTTTCTGCTTAAAAAAAAAAAAAGCATTTGGCTATTGCCTAGTAATAGCCAATCAAGAGAGCCAATGAAGTTGAAAAGGCAAATAAATGAGGTATACACATTTCTCCAGAAGGCAGAGAAAGACAAACTGCAGGTCTCCGACACCAAAAATACATGCTCAGTGCCCGCTGGCCCCCACCTTGCAATCAGGAATATTTCCTGAGTTTGCCTTCCTATATAAATTGCTATGACAGAACAGCTGGAAGAAATGAGTGTGATGTTAGCCATTGGTCATGAACACATTTGGCCAGTGCCATAGCTGACACTGAGCACCTGCATTTCCTGAGACAGAGGTTTGGCTGCTATGAATGTGGAAGAAGCATGGGGCATTTTTCTGACCATTGGGAATGCAACAAATTTGGATGCAAAGACAGAAGTGGACAGTCTGTGCATGCGGTACGGCCAAATCCAGAAAGAATGAACACGTGGGCTGCCATCTAGCTATATGGTAGCAAATGGTGCAATGACAAGGGAAAGTGCCCCATGTACTCAAAGAGTTCCATCTGCCACAGTTGGCAATGGGTTTCCCGTGCATATTTATTTGTTTATTTAAAATATTTATTCCCTGCTTTTTACCAAAAATGTAAAACACAACATAAATAATAAGCAGGAATAAAAACCACTCTCGGCAAACAGTAATTCTGAAACAATAGCAACAGGCATAGACACAAACAGTAATACCTCTAAAATGTGTAAAAGCAAAAAGGCTGCATCATCAGCAGATGATTCATAAAGCATTAGGTATGCACATTCCTCTTGAGAGTAGGGATGGACATACAAGGTTATTTCTGATCTGTGTTGTCTTAAAATTTACATCTCACATGTGAAAGGCCAGGGCAAAGAGGTGTGCCTTCAGCATCTGATGAAAACTTCAGAATGAAGATGCCAGATACACCTTTGCAGAGAGGGAATTTCACAGCTTAAGGGCTTCTACAGAGAATGCCCTCTCCTGGGATACCACCTCCATCCAGGGTGGAGAACTTCCAAAAGATCCTCACTCTGACAATATTAACCTGTGACATGGACTTTGGGGGAGGAAATGGTATTTCCAATTTGGGAGGCCAAAAGGTTTAAACACTGAGTACCTTGAACTGAGCCTGAAAACAAACTGGCAGCCAATGTTTTGCAATATATACCTGTATATCTGAAGGAGCGTCTCCACCCCCATCATCCAGCCCAGACACTGAGGTCCAGTGCCAAGGGCCTTCTGGCGGTTCCCTCGCTGCAAGAAGTGAGGTTACAGGGAACCAGGCAGAGGGCCTTCTCGGTAGTGGCACCCACCTTGTGGAACGTCCTCCCAGCAGATGTCAAGGCAATAAACAACTATTTTACTTTTAAAAAACAACTGAAGGTGGCCCTGTTCAGGAAAGTTTTTAATGTCTGATGCTGTATTGTTTTTAATATTCGGTTGGAAGCCACCCAGAGTGGCTGGGGAAACCCAGCCAGATGGGTGGAGTATAAATAAATTATTATTATTATATCTGATTCAAGATAGATGAGATATGCATGGTTTAATTATACATTGAGTAAATTATAAGTAAATAAATAAATTTGGTGGCTTTGGTTTCTTCAAAAATGGCATTTAAAGAAGTTATTTCTTTATAGACGTTCAGTCTTTTGCTGTCACTTATTAACAGTTTACCAGACAGGTATTGATCTTGTTGTGTGGCCTGTGATATACTCTAATTGTTAGAACAGAAAATCAAGTTGCTGCAGTGCTTGACATTTCTTTTCTGAGAGGCTGGCAAAAGGATTACAAGAACCTCTGGTAGATAGGTTCATTAATTTACCTGGTATGAAAAATAAAAAAAGATGATGGAGGCTACAATTCTCTAGCCACTTATTTGGGAGAAAGCCCCAGTAAAATCAATGGTGCTTCTGAGTAGATATGCAGAGTATTGCGCTATGAAACATCTTATGCAGCTTTCACAATCCTATTAATTACTATAGAAGAGCTGCCCATTGTCCATCATCCTTGGGTTAGCTTGCCTCCCCTGACTTTAGCAAATTCTTCTAACATCGCTTATATGGCCACTTCCATGTTAAAATCAATTAGCATAAAATCAGTGTTCCCATGCTGAGCTGTACACACTGATATTTATTCAAATCTAATAATCATTGGGTATGTAGTGCGTGTACCTGTGTGCGCAATAGCTCAGTTGCACAATTCAACAAGTGTCATCACCCCCAAAATAATTTTATTATTTGTACCCCATCTGACTGGGTTAATCCAACCACTCTGGGCAGCTTCCAGCATATATACAAACATAACAAAACATTGAACATTAAAAACTTTCTGATACAGGACAGCCTTCAGGTGTCTTCTAAAGGTTGCATAGTTACTTATTATTTCCTTGACATTTGAAGGGAGTGTATTCCACAAAGGTGGGTGCCACTACCGAGAAGGCCCTCTGCCTGGTTCCCTATAACCTCACTTCTTGCAGTGAGGGAACTGCCAGAAGGCCCTTGGAGCTAGATCTCAGCATCTGAGCTGAATAGTGAACATGCTTTCACACAAACATGTGTACATGCATACGGACAGTTTGTACATGTGTTTGGTGTAACATATGAACAAGTCTTTGGTCAATGAATAATGAGCTGAAAATTGGTCTTCCCTGAGATCACATCAGCAGCACAGATTCTAAACATGCTCAGAAGCTTTCATTGCAAAAGTGAAATACTTAGGGGTATATTTGTCTTCTAAAAATTTGAATTTATTTAAAGACAATTATGAAAAATGTTGGACGGAAATCAAAAAGGATTTGGAAATCTGGTCAAGATTGAAACTCACCTTGTCGGGCCGAATCGCAGCTATAAAGATGAATGTATTGCCGAAAATGTTATTTTTGTTCCAAACCCTACAGATCGTGGACAGAGTGGAATGTTTTGGAAAATGGCAGAGGGATATATCCAGGTTTGTCTGGCAGGGCAAAAAGCCCCGAATAAAATTTAAAATATTAACTGACTCAAAAGAAAGAGGGGGGTTTGCCCTGCCGGACTTGAGGTTGTACTATGAAGCTGCAGCCTTCTGCTGGTTGAAAGATTGGTTCCTGCTGGAAAACACTGATGTCCTGGATCTGGAAGGGTTTGACAATATCTTTGGTTGGCATGCATATTTGTGGTACGACAAGGTGAAAGCGCACAAATTGTTTAAAAACCATATTGTCAGAAAAGCAATTTTTGCCGTCTGGATGAAATACAAAGACCTATTAGAAAGTAAGACCCCGAGGTGGCTATCACCGATGGAGGCCAAGGCTCGAAAAAGACCCAATATGGAGGCCCATTGGCCAAAATATTGGGAAATAATTGAAAGAATTGGAGATAATTGGAAGTTGCAGAGCCAGGAAAAGCTAAAAAGTAAGGTGCGTGATTGGTTACACTATGCTCAAATTCAAGAGGTTTTTAAAATGGACAAAAAAGTTGGTTTCCAGGTGGAAAAATCGAAATTGGAGACGGAACTGTTAGAACCAAAGACTAAGATACTTTCGAGAATGTATAACTTGTTGCTTAAATGGAACACACAGGATGAGATAGTTAAATCTGCCATGATAAAATGGGCACAGGATGTTGGTCACAACATTATGTTTGAAGACTGGGAAAGGTTATGGAACACCGGAATGAAGTTCACGGCATGTAGTGCCTTGAAAGAAAACATTATGAAAATGGTATACCAGTGGTACATGACCCCAGTCAAGTTAGCTAAGATATATCACCTGTCTGATAATAAATGTTGGAAATGTCAAGAGGCAGAAGGGACATTCTTTCACCTCTGGTG